AACCATAAGACTAGCTTCTGCCTCAGGGCCTTTGCACTTTGCTATTCCTTCCACCTGTACAGCTTTCCCTTTAGAAATCTGCATACCTCACTATGCAAGTCTTCCAAGTCTGTTCTCAGGTATGAATTCCCCAAGACCTAACGTTAAAACACACTCCCCCCGCCCTCCATGCTCCCAGCCCTCTTTCTGTTTTTTTGTTTTGTTTTGTTTTGTTTTTTGGGTCTGGTTGTGGGGCCTGAACTCTGGGCCTGGGTACTGTCCCTCAACTCTTTAGCTCAAGGCTAGCGCTCTACCACTTGAGCCACAGCGCTACTTCCGGCTTTTTTTTTTTTTTTCCTTTTTGCTTATGTGGTGCTAAGGAATCGAACCCAGGGCCTCAGGCATGCAAGGCAAGTGCTCTACCACTGAGCCATCTTCCCAGCCCCCCAGCCCTCTTTCTGGCTTTATTTCTTCATAGCACACTTTCCTTAAATTTAACATTATAGTCATGCACCAAGAAATGTTTTGTTCAATGATGGACTGCAGTGTGACTAGTTTCATAAGATTGTACCTCCTAGTGTTATTAGCTGTCTCTTAATTTGTGTAAGGACACTCTGTCACACAACAAAACCTTTTTTTTTTCTTTTCAGAACAACCACATCAACTCTGTATCACTAGTTTCTTGTCTGTCTCAAAAGTATCACCGTCTTGTTCCTTGCTCTGAATTCTGAACAGAGAAAACAGTGCCCAACTCAGTGAATATTTGCCAAACCAAAGGATAGATACTTCTGCCACACTGAAATTATGTGATCTTGGGCAAATCCATCATCTGTGTCTCAGTGTCTGAATCTGAAGTGATTTAATGACTGGTGGGAGGAGGAAGACATGTGGAGATTTTAAAGGCCTCTCTTCTGCTCACTAAATGTGTAGAATACATGGCAAAACCTCCCACCCACCCCCATCCCTCTGGTTCTAGGCCTGTAGAGCTGTAGCCTTAGGCTGGGGCTAAGTTTAAAATTGATCTCAAGTGACATCTTCCTGGCCTGGTTGGGGTGTGTGTGTGTGTGTCCATACCCTCCTCCTCATCTGAGTGACCCCTGGCCAGTCCTGACCCTAGCAGAGCCTTGTCCTTAGCTGTCCTCTTTGCCTGCATTTCCCAGTCCCCCTGCCTACAGCTCCAGCCTCTCCCATTCTTCTCACTGAACACACATTTTGTATGAAAGCAACTATTATGACAGCTCCAAGCAAATGGAGAGGTAGACCTGCCAAGTCTTTCCCATGGGAAGACCCACCCTTAAGCCTGCGAGCAGCCCAAATACCCACAGAACTTTCCTTGCTGGGTGAGGGGGATGTCCCTGTCCTTAGAGGACTCATGTGGCAGAAGACGGCGTCAGTTCCAGGGGAGTCATTCCCCAATACCTACTGCGCGCAGCCTTCTCTGTAGTTAACCCTCAGTGCTGTGGGCCTGGTGCCACCATGACCCCACAGTGTCCTGCCAGGTGGAGCTGATGAGCAGTGAGGGCTCAGAGGGGCATGTAGACTTAAGTGCAAATCTACCACTCCATTCAGTCTATAAATATGTACTGATCTGTGACTGCAGTGTGCCAGTCATGCAGATAAGAGGTGAGCACATCCTTGTCCTGAAACTTCTGACTAGGGGTCCCAAGGATCCAAAGAGAAGCCCTAGAACAGATGAAGGGCAAGCCACCCCCCACAACCATCTCAAACCTTCAGTCACTAGGACACATTCCCAGAGTCTGTGCCAGGTACTCACTGAGTGATAAAGTGAGTCATGTGACCTGTCCTGACCCTGAGGTTCTCCCACCTCACCCCAGCCTGTTTTTCTCCAAGGGGGCTGTCAGTTCAAAGAGAAACTCTGGTCAGGGTCAGGCTCTCAGGTGGAGGTTTGGTTTAACCTCTTTCTTTTATCATTCATTCACTCATTCAACAAATACTTACGGAATGTGTACAAGGCACCTTTCCAACTTGGAAGATACACCAAGGAGCAAACAGAAAAAAAAATACATACTTAGGTGAATTATGGGGTATCTTAGAAGGCGAGAGAGAACATTCCAGGGACCAGAATATACAAAGGCCCTGAGGTGAGAGGATGTCTAATGAAATCCATGAACAGCACAGCGAACAAGAAGGTGAGCCCTGGGCCTGAGGGCCTGATTATGTAAGGATCTTGGTCAGATACTAGGATGAGGACTCTGACTGCTCTGAGACAAGAGGGAAGAATGTGCCCCCAGGAGAAGGGACATTCACTGTCATCTTCAGGCTTTCCCCTGCAGCCTTGGTTTGTGGGGGAATGCATAGAGGAGATGGTTAAGTCAAGAAATGGGGGAGGGGGTTGAGGTCACTCTGGTTGGGTTGTAGTCAGTCCCCAGAGTTTGGGCATCTTTGTCACCAGGCTTATTTTAAGGTGCCCCCAGCTGGAGTCTACAGCTGGTCTTTCCTTGGTTCACAGGCCTGAGTGACCCCCGTTCCTGGGCTAGATAATTGAAGACAGATGCTAAAAACCTCTCTAGAAGGCTGTGGAAGGCATTGTCCCTGGGACACAGTGCAAAGGGGCCTAGAGATACTTAAGCGTTGTGCCCCCAGCCTGGATGTAAAATGCTGATTCCCAGGCCAAAAGAACAGCCTGTGGAATTCAATTGATTGAGTCTGACCTAGAGCCCAGAAATCTATTTAGCTTCCAGCTGGCACCTTGCTAATCCAAGTTTAGGAGTGGCTTTCAGGACATCAGTTCTTGGGATCTCTGTGCAACCAGGCCCTTCACAGCCCTACCAAGGCCTGGGAGGAGGATCAACAATGTGTCATGCACTCCTTCCCACCCCTAGGGGGGCTTAGCTGATGTACACTTTGGCAGTGGGAGAAAAAGCCACCTGCAGCACCCCCCTCCCCTTGCCAGGTTGCTTGCTAGGAGGACCAAGGTACCTCATACCCACCTGTCTATCACTCAGTGTGGGAGTGGAGGGAGCAAGTTGTGTGTTCATTTTAGTAGAGGCAGGGTGTGGGGAGTGTTTTGGGGCATGATCACTGAGCAGCAAACCACAAATGTGATAAAGGGGTGACCTCCTTTACTGCCAGAGCAGAGGAGCCTGAGGAGGGGGTGGAGGTGGGGCTCAGGAGAGTGAGACAGACTGCCCACGGTAACAATCAGGGAGCAGGGACTGGTACATCTGCGTGATCCTGGCGCGGGTAAGCGGGTAGATGGATAGACAGAAGATGGGTGGATGGAGAGACGGAGGGATGAATGAATGGCTGGCTGCGTGGGCGGTGAGCGGCTGGAAAGGGGCGGGCCGGCTGAACGCTCAATCACAGCTCCTGACTGGCGCCCGCCAGCTGCTTTGAGAGCTTGACTCTCCGGGGGGGCCCCACCCGGGACGCATAATTGCGTGCCCAGTGGGCTCTGGAGCTACTCCCAGGACCTGGACTAAGAGGGGTCGCGCCGCTGTCGTTGGGATCCATGCGCTTGCCTTTAACGCGCAGGCAGGCCACGTCTGGTCCTAGGGCCCCAGGTTCCCCGTCTTTGTTTCGGACTGATTCCCAGTCTTCTTCAGGGCGCAACCCCACTCTCCAGATAGCCCTTGCGTCTCTGGCCTGCCCTGGGATTGCCAAAATATCTGTCCCCGCCGGTCTGTAGGTGCTTCCCTCAACCAGGCAAAGGACCCCCAAATCCTGTGCCTCTAGGACCGCGGAGCCGGCGAGTGGCAGGATCTCCAAGCTGCGTCTCTGGTGCAGCGAGGGGAGGTGCAGAATGAAGCCCACCCCGCCGCCTCTTCTCGAGTCCCCCCTCCCCCCGTACACGTCGCTCTGCACCCCGACTCCAGTGCTGCCTCTTCGCGCCTTAAGTAGCTCTTCTGCCGCGGTGCCATCCCAGACGCCACGAGGGCTATCCCTGCCAGCCAGGCCTCAGATCTGCACGCAAAACACAGCCCATCCGGACTAACAGTCACAGGCCACCACCTCGGGCCAGCCCACCGCCTCGCCCAGGCGCCCTGCCCCGCGCTACCACCATCCCACTCGCAAACAAGCCCACACGGACACACAACACCCTCCGTACACACCGGCGCAAGCAGTCACACTGCCCCCTATAAACAATCGCGCACAAACACCACCCCACGCAGGCCTCGCAATACCAGTCCCGCCGAGACCCACAAACACATTCACAAGCTAGCATCCAGATATTCTCCCCCTTCCCCGCCAATCACCCTCCTCTCTGCCAAGCCCCGTGACTTCCACACACGTAGGGCAGAGCAGAAATATACAGCCACATCGGAACACACACCGAACCGAGCGCGCACAGCCAGGGGCTCACCCGCGGACTCGTAAGTCACCGGAAAAATATTGAAGCGTTCCCTCCCGCCCCTTCTGTCTTTGATGAGCGCCCGCGCGCGCCGGAGTGCGGGCGCCCGGATGCGCGCGCGCGTGCGCACACACAGACACACACACACACACGCGCGCGCGCGCGCGCACACACACACACCACACACATACACACACACACCAGTCCCTAAGCGCCTCGGAGCCTCGCAGCCGGTGACCCCGAGCCCCAGCGGTGAGAGCCGCAGGAGCGTCTCCCCGGCTCCCCCTCCTCCCTCTCTTCCCGGCTCACCACCACTCCTCCCGCCTCTTCCCTCTCTGCCCCCTCCTCCCTCCCCCGTCCCCCCCCTGCGTCTGGGGCGCGGGCTGCGCTCAGCCAAGCCCCCTCATCGCGCGCCCCTCCCCGCGCGCGCCCCGCGCCCGCATCGCGCTAAGCCGAGTGGATGTGGCCACGGGGCCGTCTCTAATTACCTCCTGTCCCCCGGCGGCCGGGTGAATAATGGCTACTGAGGGCGCTCGCAGGGGCTGTTGAGGAGGAAACGCGGGGCGCGAGAGGAGAGCCTAGCAGAGGCGCGGCGCGGCCCTGCGCGCGCGGGAGCGCGAGGGAGAGGAGCGAGCCCGGGGCTGCCGCGAGCGGCGGCGGGCGGAGAGAAAGGATCCGTGCGAGCGCTCACATTTTTTTTTCTCCCAAGGATCTCATCTGGCCGCCGCGTTCTGGGAGAGGCGAGGGGGAGAGTGCGCGTGAGAGGCGGAGGAGAGAGACACGGCGGGGGAAAGGGAGACGGCGAGACGCGCAGCCGGCGCTCCGAGACCCCGGAGGAGCCCGCAGGTATTGTTGGCGGCGGAGCTTTGTGTCCTCGGCGGGGCGCGAGGGCTCCCAGAATCCCGGCCAGCCGCCGCGCTCAGATCTGCCCCGAACAGGGGCTGCCGGCGGGGGTCGCCACCCGCCCGCCTGCCTTGGTCACCCCTCCCTCCGCCGCCGCAATCTTGGCTGGAGTTGCGGATTTGCCTGTTTGCGAGATTTTCCACGCGGGTGGAGGGGATCAGTCTCAAGAGAAGGAATTTTCTTCCTTTTTATTTTGTATTTGTAATTTTTTGGTGGCAGTTTGGTTGTGATGGGGATTCCCCCCTCCCCTTTCTTCCACAATGCATGGGAGAGCGAGAGGTCTTGGCGACGGTGGCACTGGGCTGAGATGGCGGGGCTGGTAGCCGCCAACCCGGAGGTGAGGGGATGCAGGAGAGGGAAGGAGTTCTGCTTAAGTTCTCAATCAGCGCCCAGGAGCTGGTCGGCCGGTCCTGGTCTGGGCAACCGGTGGGAAACTTCCCGGGAGCGTGGCCTCTAGGAGGGGGTGGGGGAGACCGTTGCCCCACACCTCCCTGTGTTTCCTCCAGCCCCTTGAACCCCCTCCTCGCTGGCCTCCAGTGCTTAAGGTCGAGCTAACCCCCCCCCCCCTTCCTCTTCTTTGGCGGCTTCCGGATCTGGACGGAACTGCTTCAAATACTTCCCCTGGAGACCCTTCCCCATTCCCCCAGAGCCTGCCCCGGAGCCCCCCTGCCTTGTGCCTGCCAGGTCTCACGCATGGCCAAGTAACCGAAGCTGACAATGAAATCTTGCTCTTCTGTGTAGGTGTGCAGGAGTCGGGGGCTTCATCTCTCCTGGGGCTGCTGACCCTGGGCCCAAGGCAAGGGGAGGGACTTGTTTGGGTTAGAGAAATTGGTGTGGGATGGCGCCAGGCAGGCAGAGGGTGGGTGGGGGCATGCATCAGAGTGAGGGCTTGGGGTGTGCAGCCGGGGGTCGTGGAGGGCATGGCGATTGGCTGGTGCCTTCAAGCACGTCGAGGGCCACTAACCTCAGCCTCCTCCCCTCCTGTACAATGCGGGCTGAGAGGTGATCCCGGGGGTGATGTGTTTGTGTGACGAAGTGTTTGTCTCCCGTGATCCACGGCAGACACTACAGCTCTGGTAACCCAGAGGATCAATGACAGGGCCCCTCCCTCGGGGTGGGGGTGGGCAAGGGGCAGCAGAAGGAGGAGAGGGGAGTGGTAGGAATGTCTTTTCCCACTGGGGCCATGGGAAGGGAGAGCTAACCCAGAGAATTTCAGGGGACCGCAGTCTTGAAGGGGGGGGGAAGCGGAGGGGAGCACAGCCTTAAGAGGAGGGCTCTTGAGTCAGAGCCTTCCAGCCACTCAAAGCACCCAGATCCTTTTGCCTCTTAGGGGTATGGAGGGAGTATGTGGATGAGGTGAAGGGCTAGCTGTTTGTGGTGTTTGGGATGGGAGAGTTCATGAAAATTACCCTGAATTTGATTCTCAGGCAGCCCCAGGGGGTTAAAGTGCCCGCTGGCAGCCTAGACAGGTGAAAGCCTTCCTCTTCCTATCTAAAGAGGGGCTTTCTGGAAGACAAGTGGTACCTTTAGGGCCAGAGAACTGGACTGTTTGCAGACCTGCTCTGTGGCTAGGTTCAGGAATAGAAAGAGTTAACCCTCCCCTAGAAATCTGTCAGCCCCTACACAGCAGGGACACATTGTTGGACCCTCTGACATGCTAACAGCATGACACTGCTGACAGGGGCAGCAGATTCCAGACCCTGTACTCCCCCTTCCTCCAAGACAGCAGCTGAAGCTCTGCACAGGTCCTAGCTGGGTGGGTCCCTGTTCAGGGACCTTTGGGAAGATGGAAAAGGTCCAGTGGCTCTGAAGGAAAATGAGTTCCAAGCCAGTGCCACAGAGAACTGGCAGGGGTATCACTGTGGGAACTGAGGTGAAGGAGAGAGGCCCTTTTATTCTTCTACCCTTTGCCCAGGCTGGACTGGCTGGCTCCTGCTCAAACCTTTGCCCTGCTCTTCTCACCTGCACCCTCACCACCCACAACTGAAGGCTAGAGCTCTGGGTGACTTTCTGACCCCCCAGGTTGGACTATGAAGTCCTGGCAGCTGAGGGCAGCCTGGCTGAGGTCCCCTGGGAGGCAGGATTGCATGTGACAGCTTTACTATATCTCCCTCCTCACCACTATGGCCCAAGTGCCTCAGAGGAGAGTTGTTTGTGGGGCTGCCTTCTGGCTCTTGGTACCCTGGGCTGTGACTTCCATTTCCTGTAGGCAGAAACTTCCCTTAGATCCCCCAGGGCCAGGCACAGTTCAGACACTCATCGAGTTCTGTGTTTGGCTGGACAAACAGGAGTGAATGGATCCCTAATGAATGAATCACTGAATGAAAGGGAAGGTTTCTCAACTGGAGGCATCTCGTCATTGTTTTGGGGTGTATATGAAAGCTTTTTTCTTTTTTTTTTTTAAACCCGGTTCACAGAAAATCTGGAAGATCAAGAAAAACAAACAAACAAAACAAAAAAGGTTATTGAATGTCTTAGGGGTTCCAGCAATGTTCATATTTTGAGGTAGTTCTTCCCAGGTCTAATAGACTTGTTAGTTGGTGGTGGATGTTTTATTTTTAAAAATGGTATTGTCGTCATTGCATATATTCAGATGTATATCCTGCTTGCTTTTCTTTCTTTCTTTCTTTTTTTTTTTTTGCTGGCGATAATGCCAGCCTTTTCCTGTTTTGTAACCGGCTCTTCATAAACACCATGGTTAATGTCTTCAGGCTTTTCCAGTCAAGTGGATGTACTGTAATTTACTTAATATTCCCCTTTTGTTCAGCATTCTGGATGTTCCTGATGACTGATGTAGAGGGTATATTTTGTGTAGAGAGCTTTTTCTGATGTTTAAGATGATTTCCTCAAAATGACGCTGTGCCACTGCTGTTGTTGTTGCTGCTGCGGCCGCCAAAGGCTCCAGCATGCCTGCAGTGAAGAAATAAGCTCGTCTAGCTTTAAAAGTGGGACACTGTTCTCCTTTCTTCCCCACAGTCTAGAAACTTCTACCAGAGCTGAAAGGAGCCTCGGCAGTGAATCACGGGTCTGATCTCCCTCCTTTGACAGAGAAGGAAACCAGAGCCCAGAGAGGGGAAGCAAGTCCCAAGGTCACACAGCAATCTGGGCTGTGCAGCAGCCAAGACCTGGCTCCCCATCTTGCCATTCGGGTTTTTGCATCTGGAAAAGATTCTTGGAGGTAGCCTAGGCTGACCTTGCACATTTCACAGATGGGAGAACTGAGACTCCAGGCAAGGAGAAAAGCACCAGTTTGCCTTGTGTCAACCAGCTGGAGCCACAGACAGGCCCCGAGCCCTTCTGTGGCACACACACTGCTGGGCTCCTAGATCCAGGACCGTTCAAGTCACATTCCTGAGGTTAGCCAGCTATCTTCCTGCCTCTATCTTCCTGACAAGTTCCTTTCCTTTTTTGCTATCCCACTTTCCAGAAGGAAGGCTGAGAATCCCTCCTCACCCCCTGCAGATCTGACCAGTGAAGGTTCAGTCCAAAGACTGGGGGGGGGGGGGTGTCAGGGTGACCAGTGTTCGACAACCTGAAGTGATTGTGTAGGGCTGGGTGCTACAGCTGTCTGGGACATCTAAGAAAAGATCCCAGACCAAGTAGGTAACAGACATACCTGGTTTGGTGACCTCTCTGACTACTAGATCCCCTTGTGGGGAAAGTGGCAGGGCACCCCGGTTCATACACTTAGGGTGCTTATGGAGGATAAGGAAGTTGTGTCTCTGATTCTCTTTATGAGGGCTGGGCCTTCCTGTGTTTTCCTTGGCAGGCTGTCAACCATACAGGTCCAGTGGGTGTGTCTCCCAGTGGCTCTTGTATCTGTCTGGGTCCCTGTGTGTGCTCTGCTAGTGGGTATGGGCACATGTCTGTGAGTTTCTGATCCCAGGTGTGCATCTCAGGGATTATCATTTGTGTGTATGTATGTGTGTACAAGCATGCACGCATGCATATGCTTTGGTGTCAGCACACACCCTTCCATCCTAATGGCCCCAAGGGGATCCAGGCATCAGGTTTTTGTGTTACTTTCAAGGTTGCAGCTGGGTGGGTAAAACCGAAAGATGGTCTTTGACTCTGTGTGTGTGTGTGTGTGTGTGTGTGTGTGTGTGTGTGTGTGTGTGTGTGTGTGTGTGTGTGTGTGTGTGTGTGTGTGTGTGTGGCGGGGGTGCTGGGGGAGGGAACAAAAATCTTAAAAGACCATCTTCCCTGTGGTCTCCAAGGAGATCAGCCTGTGAAATGATCCACACGTTAATTAAAAACGATTATATCCTGATTGAGCCATTCCTGCTCACAGCCCCCCCCCCCAGCCAGGGAGAGGATGAGGCTGTGAGCCAAGGGTGTGGGATGGCAGGGTCCAACCACAGGGTGCTGAGGGGAGTGGGTTTCGATGGGCTCTTCTGAGAAGGCCCGTGCCCAGTCAGCTTGTGCCCAGTTGGATCTGAACTTCTTTCTTGAATGTAAGGACTCTCCCCAGGTAGTGACTCTGAGGTCCCAGGGACTGATGGCAGCTACCCGAGCTCCATGGATCTTCCCTCCTCTGCCTGGCAACGGGCCTGTTTGTACAGCTGTATGTCAGTGTCTGTGGATCCAATTCCACAGAGAAGTGACATGCCTCAGGTCATGCAACCGGAAATTGGAGACTGGACCTGGTCCTCTGGTCTCAAAAGCCCAGGTCCATAAATGACCTCTGACTTTTACTGTGAGCTCTTCACCTCTGCAGAAGCCAGGCCTTAATGCTAAAGTCTTTTCCTCCTCCATGTTACCATCAAGATTCGTTCTTTCAGAGGCCCCAGCTGTACAGGGTGGAGGTTGTGTGTTCCACCATGTGGGGAGCTGGATGACTTGCCAACCAGGCAGCTCTAATCTGTCATCTTTGCTGACCTTCCTGCACTCCTCCTCTATGTTGGCTGATGGTACTGCAGCAGACCAGCCACAGGTGCCCCTGA